GCTTTGCTTGTACTCTTGCTATACACACTTGTGAACTCTTGGACTGGTCTTGTGGCCACTGTTGCTTGTGCTCAGAATGTGTGGTGACGTTGTGATCCACCCTGAGCTTTGTATGTTTGTGACTGGTCTTGTGACCGTACACTTTTGGTTTTGCTAGACACCCCTCACTTAGGCTATGGGGGTGTGTCAAATGTTGTAGCCTTAGTGAGGTTTGTCTTAGGGGGTACAGATGTTAGGGTTTGTTATATGTACCCCAACCCATATCAATGAACCAGCACTTTCATTCTTAACATGTAGTTATTGAGTAATGTATCGTACTCGCCCGTATACAGCACCCTTACGATGTGGTATGTGTTTCATGGCATTTGCCAGGAAAGTCGAAAGGAGGAGGAGGTGGGGAAGGGGGGACAAGTTTTGTAGGCTGGAAACAAGACAGACACAGGGCTGACGTTTCACATTTGGGTACACTGATGGTGCAAAAAAAAAAAAAAAATTACTCTGAGGGCACTTCGGCCAGATTTTGGCCACTCTGATGGCTCAGTCTCCAGGAAACCCTTTCCCTGTGGTCACAGGGTTGGCGAACTATGATCAGAGTGCTGTTTCTATCATTTTTTATTTATTACACAAGCACTGTCAACAATGCCCGGCCGGGTTTCGGGTTCACATAAGACAGCACCAAGAATCCTACTCTGTCGGCTGATCTATGTCATACATCTCCTCCCCCTCCTCGCCATCCGAGAGGAACGGGTTAACATCTTCCTCTGAGTAATCTCGGGGCGGTGACTGCTCTATCTCCTGATCCATCTCCAGGTTGTCGTCACGATCATCGTCTGACTCCGCGAGCTCCTCCTCGCTCGCCGGCTCCCTGGGTTCCTCCTCTTCCTCCTCCGGTTCCTTCTCCTTTCGCTTGCGATCGTCAGATGGGAACAGAACGCTCTGCGCAGGGCGCCTCTTCTTGAGGCTCTTCCAGGTGTCGAGCACCCCAGGCCAGTCCATCTCGTACTGCAGCAGCGAGATCTGCATCAGCTCCGCGAGCCGCGCGTTGCAGAGAGACCCACGGATCCACGACTTGATCACGTTCTGACGCAAGAACCCCCGCTCGCACTCCACAGTGGAGAGTGGCAGGACTGCCAACGCCTGCCACATCAGCAACAGGTTGGGCCAGCGCCTGCACAAAACAAGGAGCATCAGTTTTCCCGAAGCGTTAGATTTGAGACATGCATGTGGCACACGCAGACTAGGTGGACTTACCTCTTGGCGTCGCCGCTCCCCATGAAGTTCGCGAGTCCTTGCGCGAATGACTCGTCCTCGTGGTGAGACTCCATGATTGGGCACCAGGTTGCCAGCTCCTGCGACGCTTTCTTGTGATCAAACCCCGGCAGCTTGTTCTTGAACAGAGCGGCGCAGCCAGTCAGCCAGTCCTGGCACTTGCGGTCTCGTGCGTGCTTGCTCTTGGGCCACTGAGACGCGCGAAACAGCTTCGTTGGACCCATCCCCCGCAGGTCGTCCAGGCGAAACAGGAGACGATCGACGACGTCCGTCGCGAACTTACGACACAGCTTCACGCACGCCTTGTAGCCGCTCTTGTACGAGTGGTTCACAGGGCGGCCCTCCGAATCCGAGCCACGCACTCGGACCGTCTGACCCGACTTCTTGCCATACAGCGCCAGGAATTTCGGCAGCCATCCGTTGCCGGAACCACCGAAGTCCGCCTTCTTGTCCAGGTACCTGTGCTCGAGGTCGCCAGTGATGGACTCCACGGTCTTTGACACCTCAGTAACGTCGACCTGTCCACAACAACTAGTGAATTAGGACACGATGAAACAACAAACATAGCCACCCACACAACGCTAACTCACCTGCCGCTTCTGAAACGAATGGTTGAGATCATTCAGGTCGCCGAGGATGTCAGCGAGGAAGAAGAGGCAGAACTGAAACTTGTACGATGTCACCATCTCGTACAAGTTGTGCTCCTTCTCGTGGAAGAGCACAATCGCCGCGCCCAGCACCTTGCACAGACGCTTTACCGCGTCGCCCCGGGACAGCCAGCGCACGCTGTGTATGCCCTGGACCTCGAGGTTTGTGTTGTATATGACGCGCTGAAGGTACTTGAAGCGCGTCCTTCACCGCCAATGCCTCCCTGTACATCCAACTAGCCAATGATTAGTATCCGTCGGGGTCTTCGTGAGGCGCGGTACATAAAGCAAGATGAAGGTGCGGTAAAAGATTATATCACCTGTGGGCGATGCAGTGTGTTGACACGAGATGCGGCACATGCTCCCGCAGTCTTGTGACGAGGCCGTTGTCGCATCCAATCATTACAGACGCACCGTCAGTGCTGATGCCCACCACTCGGTTGATGTCAATGTTGGCGGTGTGCAGGTGGTTGAGGAGCACCGACAAGAGAGAAGCTGCATCACACCGCTCGACAGTAAGAAGGGTGAGATACTCAGTAACGACTCGACGATTGCGCAAGAACGTGATGTACACAATCATGTGCTTCCCGCGGGTCCGGTCGGTGCTCTCGTCTGTGCTCAAGCCGAGGAAGGGCGACGAGGCGATGTGCTCCATCTGCGTCTGAGTCAACCAGGTGCTCAGGCAGTGCACCATCTGTTGGAAACCGTATCTGCAATGGTTACGAAGAAACGAGACGTTAGCCTTGAAAGACAGTAACCAAACGTTACCTAAATTAGAAACCATACAAACGCACCTCGTGAGGTACACCCCGTAGGCCTGCTTCGGTATGTCGGGGGTGTCCTGTTCAGCGAGATGCCTCATGAGCTTCGGGAACATGCTGATGGGCGCGTCCTCCTGGCAGAGAAACTGCACCGACCTCATCAGCCGAATCGCCCGCCTACCCTCAAGGTCCGCGTTGATGAAACGATCAATTTTCGTCTGGCCGTTCGAAATCGCCTCCGCAATCTCTGCCTGACGCTGCATCGCCTCCTTGTGGACCGTCGTGTGCTCGTGGATGCGCATCGTCTGCGTCTGCAGGTCTTGCCCGCCGTCGCCTGGACCTGAGTACTTGGTTGTCTCCTTGCCGAACGAGAGACACAGGCTGCACTTCACACTGGGACCACCGTCTTTAGCGCGAACCAAAAGCAGCCACGGGAATTTGGGCAACCACTGGGTTTTATACTTAACACTCGCCTCTATGTACTTCTGCTCCATTACCTCAGCCTTGGACAGGACGGGAGAGTTGGTGTCCGCACGTACAGGTATCTCCTCTGGTTCCTCTGGTTCGGGCTCGGAGTCTTCTGGAGCGCTTGGTGGTGCCACGCGCACACCGCCGAAGGTCAACGTGCTCTGCTGAAACTTCCCGCGGAGTACGACAGTGCGCGCCTTCTTAGCTGTGCGACCCTCGGACGCGGGAGCGGCATCGTTGCAGCCGCTGCTACCAACAGAAGAGGGAGGCGCTTTACTGGACGACGGGATGGCGGGAGGGAGAGTGAACGGCGCTGGTGGTGGCGCGGGATTGGGAGGAGGTTGCGGCCCCTTGCTAGACGACGCGATGGCAGGAGGGAGAGTGAACGGCGCTGGAGCAGGCGCGGGATTGGGGGCCGGTTGCGGATTCTTGCTGGACGACGGTAACTCCTCGGTATTAACAACAGCAGCGGTAACTAAAGGTTCTGGAGTGACTGGAGCTACGCTTGATCGAAGGAAGTCTAGGCCGCTAACCCTACGATCGGGAGGCTTTTCCGGGACGGCCTCAGGCGAGTCCTCCGCGGGAGATAAGGACGCCATGGCGAGAGAGAACGATGAATCAAGAAGCTGAAAGCACGAGAATGAAAGCAACATGTGAAACTGGGGGAGGCCCTTCAGCCTGGAAAGAACCAGCTGCAGCAGACGGAACGAAAGCCGCGTCGCCACGACAATGGCTCACGGAGTGGGGTGGGGTTTGATGAATGAATCGGGCCTTGAAGACGGGGCCAAATTCATCTGCCACAATGCCACCACACATAGCTGGTGAGCCATGCCACCAATCGCGATCGACCCATCACATTAAGTGAGGGTGGCGCGGTTCGCGTGGCTGCAGAGTCATCATCAAACTTGGCATACTGGCCGCAGCACGCCGCACCTGGCTGCCTTGCTGTGCACAGCGCACCAACAGATTTTGTCAACATTACATGGTTTCGAGGCCACGCGAACAAGAAGACAACCACGGGGGGTGGTGAAATGATTACGCGCGGAACATTTTTACAAGGGGGGGGGGGGGGGGGGGGTGGGTACTTTCGGACATTTCGGGGAAGCTTCCTCTCAATACACCGGCATACAGGGACCACATACTGTATACTCTGTAGAGCCAGAGTCTAGAAACGACTAAGTCTGAGAACTATTACACTATATCAGGGGCCTACAAACAATAACACTGAGGCCCTCAGGGATGAGATATTGTTTACTCTGCAAATCCATTTTCCACAACCTCAATGCTCTGATTGGTCAGACTAATCAGACTATTTAGTCTGATAGCGTCAGCCCTGGACAGACATCCAGTGCTGAAGGATTCACTGTAATAGAAATGGCCAAAGTAAAATGATAATTCTGACGCTGAGATATCGACCTACGGTACTGTAATTTATCTAGGTACCTCAGGGCATTATCCATTCGCCGGATGGACCTAAATGCATCCACCACCCAGTCCATTGCTATTACCGTTATTTTGTTTAGTTAGCCTTACCAGAACCAGTGTTACATCTAAAGGGGAGTAAAGGAAGCGGTGTATGTTGCGTTTAGTGTCTCCTCCGCAGAGCAGTGCGCAAGTGTCAGATAGACGTCATCGGCATCTTTAGGTCTGGAAATTTCCCAATTCGGGATTATTAGGTCGAACTTGTTGCGCCATGGATCATCAAGCTTCTAGCATCGTATAGTAGGTTGCCCGGTAGCCACGCCCAGATCCACTCTCGCAATCGCAGACGCGTTTCCGCGGGCCCCGCGCTGCGAAGCTCTAATCGTGCATCCTGCCAGGCTCCACGTGTCACGTTCGCGTCATCAAAGTCATCATGATGACTGCGGCCAGTCTCCCCGCGTATCCCTGTCCATCCCTCCCGCGCCTCCTCTCCCTCCTCCCCACCCTCGTCGTCCTCCTCCTCGCCCTCTCCCTCCCCGCGGCGCGCGGCGAGATCTCTGACGCGCTGCTGGAGGCGGACAAGCGCGCGATCGTGCTGTTCGACACGTTCGGGTTCGAATCCAACGGTCACGTTGACATGAACGTGTCGTCTGTCGAGGTGCTTGTGCCGGAGAACGCGGCGGCGGCCGACAAGACGTTGATGGGATTTTTTTTAACGACGGCGGAGGACGAGTTAGAGCTTCAGAACGACTTCCAGGCGGGACACTGCGTGCTCGCCAACGCGCACGTGCACCGCCTCTTCACGCTGCAGGTGCGCGCCGTGCTCCGCGCGCCGTGCAGGTGCGTGCGCTGCGCCGCTTCGTGTAGGTGCCGCGCATCCGACAGGGATTTGCCATGTGACGAAAATTTGCCATGCGACAGAAATTTGCCATGCGACAGCGGATTGCCATGCGACAGCGGGCTGCCATGCGACAGGGAGTTGCTATTCAACAGACAATTTTTATGCGACAGAGGATGTCCTTGGGACTGATCGAACCAATGGGGTGGGTAGGCGTGACGATCCCCCAGCGGCCCGTCCTTTCTTGACGGGTGATGATACTCTTATGGGATCCGTGGTGCTTCCCCTCACCATGGAATGGGAGGTGTTATAGATTCAGCACACAAGGCATGTGAGATTCCGCTACCGCCTCGCCTCCGTGTTTCCTTGCCCATTCCATGCTCTTTTAATTACTATACTTTCGTCCTTCGTTCCCCCCTTTCCCTTCACCTCGTTCCTCTCGTCTAAGCCACCCTCACACTCCTATCCCCCCCCTCCTCTACCCGCTCTCCCTGGCTCCACCCCTCCCTGGCACACATCTCCAGGACGTGGTATCACAGCAGCAGGGTCCAGACAAGCCCTTCACCTTGCGCTACACAGTGCCCGACGCCAAGGAGTACTCTCTCTTCTTTGCCAACTGCCAGCCGCACGCGCGCGTCTCCCTCAACTGCTCCTTCGCCCTCTACAACGTCGCTCCCAGCGGCCGCATCGACTACCTCCCGGGCGGCAAAACCCAGCTGCCCATGCTCTACAGCGCCTTCTACCTCGCGTACATGGTGGCCGGCATCGTTTGGATTTATCTGTGCCACAAGCACTGGGCGAGAACCCACCGGATTCACATTCTGATGGGCGTGCTGGTGCTGCTGAAAGCGTTCACTGTGCTGTCACAGGCGGGGGAGTATGCGTATATCCGCGCCACGGGGGACCCGCAAGGGTGGAACATTGCTTTCTACGTGTTCAGCTTCTTCCGAGGAATCATGCTGTTCACGGTGATAGTGTTGATTGGCACGGGGTGGTCCGTGGTGAAGCCGTACCTGCAGGACAAGGAGAAGAAGGTCATCCTCATTGTCATTCCGCTGCAGGTGAGGGAGGTGGGAGGAGGGGGAACGGGGGGTGTGAGGAACTTAGGGGAAGGTGTGCCGAGCGAGAGTGTTTGATTTTGAACCCATGCTAACGTTGCTTGTCAAGAAGGTCCTTTGCCATATTATTTCCGTTGTGAAATTCGTTTTGCAACAGTAGGGAGCTAGCGTGCTTATGCTGCCCCCATTCGGTTTGTATTTCCACTCTGATTCACCTATTAACCTCCTGCACTGTTCCTGCTAAGGTCTTTGCGAACATCGCAACAATCATCCTGGACGAGAGCGGGCCGTCGTCGCAGTCATGGTTCACGTGGCGTGACATCTTCCACCTGCTCGACATCCTCTGCTGCTGCGCCGTCTTCTTCCCCATCATCTGGTCCATCAAGCACCTCCGGGAGGTTGCGCATTCCGACGGCAAGGCAGCACGCATCGTTGCCAAGCTACAGCTCTTCCGGCACTTTTATGTGCTCGTGGTGTGTTACATATACTTCACGCGCATCGTGGTGTACGTTTTGCGGTCCACCATGCCGTATCAGTACGCATGGACAGCGGATTTGGCGGGAGAATTGGTAACGCTGGTGTTTTATTGCGTTACGGGTTACCAGTTCCGGCCAATGGAAGAGAACCCGTTTCTCGCCGTGCATGATGATGACACGGGAGGGTCGGATGGGATAGAGATGGATAAGGGCGCAAGCAAGCCGCTCAAGGCAGGTGACGACGAGGACGATGAGTTTGACCTGTGAGCCACGAAATGGCATATTTCTTGCTATAACTCGCGCTGGTTGGTTGGGCCGTGCATTGCATGTTCTTTGAATTTACGTAATCAAATCTTAAAACGTGGTGTACTGTTACGAGTGCAATTGAGTGAACGAACGAGAATTGCACTATCGAAGCAAGCGTACAATGAGCGAAGGCATGAGCGAAGAATATATAGCGAAACTACAGTGGTAACGGTAATGGACTGTGGTTGTCGCGCGACGGGCCTGGGACTGAGGTTGGGAAAAGTGTCGAAGCGGAGGCCCGGAGCGCGGGTTACCCGCCGAGCCGTGAGGTCGGGGTGCGACGTGCGAAGGTGGCGGGCGGATTGTCGATGCGAGGATTGCGAGTGGTAACGGTGCTGACTGTGGTGCTACAGTGATGTACGCGTTGAGCAGGGACGCGAAGTAAGGAAAAAGAGATTTTCCTTACACTACCCCCCCCCCCCTTAAGGAGGTCCTCCTTACGAAAGTGCGTGTACATCCCTGAAATTCCGGCTGCGCAGATACTCGGTGAGGACGGGGTGGTTTTCGATTCTGTCCAGGGGAACCCAACTGTCTTCGGTGGGTGTACGGTCCTTCCAGCGGAGTAAGAACTCGATCCTTCGGGCTCCTCGAGGGTCGCGAACTCTGTGACTCAGGATTTTCTCGGGGGTGATGATTGGTTCAGTCGGTGGTCTTGTCATGCTGGCTGGGCGATTGCGTGGCAGTTGGCTCGTGGACGGGACGTAAGGGCGAAGCAGGCTGACGTGGAACGAGGGGCTGACGTACCAGTCAGCAGGGAGGAGGAGGTGGGCGGTGACAGGTGTAAGCATGTGGCTTATGCGAAATGGCCCGCAGTATCGGGGGCGGAGTTTCGGGGTGATGGGCAGTCGGAGATTTTGGGTGTCGAGCAAAACTAAGTCGTCGGGCTGGTAAGTGACAGGTCTGCGGTGGCGGTCCGCGTTGCGTTTAGCGATGATGTTAGCTTTTTTAATTGCGTCTGCTCCCCTGGTTCGTGCTGCTTGCAAAATTTCGGCGAACTGTTGCGCGCGTGGAACCGGGTTGTCGGGATTCGGGGTCATGGGTACTGTTGGGTCTTGTCCGTAATTCAGGTAAAACGGTGACTGTTGGGTCGTGGCGGATGGGGCGTTGTTGTATGCGAATTCGATGAGTGGCAGTTGCTGTTCCCACGTGTTTGGGTCGTCGCACGTGGCCCGGATGAGCTGTTCCATGGTCTGATTTGTCCGTTCTGTCTGTCCGTCTGTTTCGGGGTGGTACGATGAACTAAACTGTAGTCGCGTGCCGAACTGCTGCCATAGGTTCCGCCAGAAGTTGCTGGTGAATTTCGTGTCTCTGTCGCTAATGATTGATGCTGGTATCCCGTGCAGTCGAACGACGGTAGAGATGAAGAGGCGGGCTGTTTCTTCGGCTGTGATTGATTTTTTGCAGGCTGCGAAGTGTGCCATTTTCGTCAGTCGATCGACGACGACCAGGATCGCGTCATTTCCACTCGCCCCGGCCGATAACCCCGTGACGAAGTCCATCGTCACCTGCTGCCAAGCACGCTCTGGAGGTGGGATTGGCTGCAACTGTCCCGCCGGCCGCTTCCGTGTTGACTTCATGATCTGGCAAGTGGGACACGATGCCACGTGTCGCTGCACGTCGGTCAACATTTCGGGCCAGTAATAATACCGATGCAGCTGCTGCCGTGTTTTCTCTACCCCGAAATGTCCCGAGGTAACCCCGTCGTGTGCCTCCTGTAATAGTAATTCCCGTAGCAGTGTGTACCCTGGTACCCGGATGCGGTCGGTCCCGGCTTTTACGTAATAGACTCCCTTAGCTGCTGCGAACTGCTGCGAATTTCCTCCTGTGAAGAATGGGTCCGTTTGATATCCGTGGGTAAATAGTCCTGTCAGTAGCGGGCTGGTCTGGGCGAGTAGTATCGCGTGGATCTGGGCAGTGGGGCGGGTCAGTGCGTCGGCGATGTTCGAGGCTCCTTTTTTATAGGTGACTGTGTAGTGGAAGTTTGACTCGAGGAAATCGAGCCACCGAATCTGTCGTGGGTTGAGGTGGGGCTGTGCGCGGAGGTACTGTAGTGATCGGTGGTCTGTCCGTACTGTCACGTCGGCGCCGGTCAAGTAGCAGCGCCACACTTTGAACGCATGCACGATCGCGAGCATTTCACGGTCGTGTATCGGGTAATTTCGCTCGGGCGGATGCAGTTTTCGTGACTCGTATGCGATGGGCTGTAGGTCGTTGCCGAAGTCCTGTAGCAGTACGGCTCCAATGGCGATGTCGCTTGCGTCTGTAACAACCTCGAAGGGGCGGTGTGGGTCGGCGATGCGCAGGACGGGCGGTGAACAGAGAACATTTTTCAGGGCAGAGAAGGCAGCATGCTCTTTCTCCCCCCACGTAAAAACGACCCCCTTTCACAGTAAATCCGTCAGCGGGGCAGTCAACTGTGCCATGTCGGGGACGAACCGACGAACATAATTAACGAACCCTAAAAAACTCTGCAGTTCCGTGATGTTCGTCGGGGGACGCCACGCTTTTACCATATCCAGCTTCTTTGGGTCGATTTCAACTCTAGCCTCCGAAATAACGTGCCCAAAAAATTCTAGTCTGTCCCGAAAAATCTCGCACTTAGAGCCCTTGGTTAGTAATCGATGTTCCTCTAAAACTTTAAATACTGCTTCGAGATCCGCTAAATGCTGCTGGTTGTCGCGGCTGTAGACGAGGATGTCGTCGAGGTAAACTATCACGCATTTATCTAAGAGTGGCCTAAACGCCTCGTTCATGGTCATCTGAAATGTTGCGGGCGCGTTGGTCAGCCCGAAAGGCATCACCGTGTACTCAAACGACCCGTACCTAGTCCTAAATGCTGTATTGGCGCAGTCCGATGGTTCGACCCGAATCTGATGGTAACCCCCCCGTAAGTCTATTTTCGAAAACACCCGTGCTGTTCGCAGTTGGTCGATCAGTTCGTCGGCGCGGGGAATGGGGTACCGCGACTTGACTGTTACCCTGTTGAGCGCTCGGTAATCGATGCACATGCGAAACCCTCCGTCTTTTTTTTCGGTGTGAACAGTATCGGTGCGGCGAACGGTAACGAACTTGGTCGAATAAACTGCTTCTCTAACAAATAATCTAACTGCTTCCTCAGTTCGTCGAACTCGGGCTGTGTCAGTCTGAACTGGCGCTGTACAGTTGGCTGTGCCCCTGGTTCTAACTCGATCCTATGATCATGCGCCCGCTGAGGTGGCAGCCCTTCCGGTAAGTCGTCTGGAAAAATCCCCGGGTACCGTTTCAACAGTTCCTGTAGTTCGGGCGGTACTGCTGCCAACATTTTCTGAAAATCGCTCGGCTGCTCCGCTTCTCCTACTAATGCTATATCTACAGCGTACACGTCAGCTCCAGCGGCGACAACCCGTTTCATCGTGATGGCATTGACGTGGACCGTTGAAGACTCGGGCGACTGCCAGCGAGGTAGCATGACCCAGTTACCGCTACTTCGCACAGTGCAGCTACCCGTCGTCCAGTCGATTCGTGGGTTGTACCGTCGTAGCCAATCACGTCCCAGTAAAACATCATGTCCATCCAATGTCGTCGCGAGCATTTCCTGTGTAAACCCGAAGTTTCCCCTGCAGCGAACTTTTACTCTCTCCACCTTCTCCCGTATGGCCAGCGGCGTGCCGTCAACTAAGCGTGCGTCGATCTCAGGTAAGCAGCGACTAAGTGTTAGTTGTAATTTTCGCGCAGTTGCGGTATTAACTAAACTGTGGCTTGCTCCTCCGTCAATAAAAATCTTCACTGCTGCTCCCTGTATTTTCCCGTGGATCAGTACTGGGCAATCCGTCTTGTACCCTCCTTATTCATCCGAGCCCGATCGATGGCGTGAATCGGTACTGTGACTCGGTGAGGGTCGGTGCGGTTGGGCGAGCAGGCAGTCTCGTCAGTAGTTGGCCCAACTTCTACTGACTGCTGGCGTTTCCCTGCCTCTGAGACTCCCTCCCCTGCTCTGCTCCGCGGCGCCTTAGCTCCTCTGGGCATTCGCTCTTGCGATGGCCCGGCCTGTTGCAAGCAAAGCAGCGCCCCTTAAACGGTGCGGCAGCCGCATTCGTTGCAACAGCGTTTACAGTGGCGTGCTTGATCGGTCCCCGAGGACGATGTCCGTAGTAGGACCCCGGTCTCGGTCGGCGTAGAATGTCGATTTTCTCGGCGAGCGCGAGAATCTCGTTGAAGTTTGAGAGTCCGCGCAGCATGATTTTGTGCGAGATATCCGGCTTCAGCCCTCCGACGTAACGGTCCACCCGCTCCGCTTCGTGCATGTAGCCGACCTGCTCGCAAAGTGCGAGAAAACCGCTCGTGTAATCTTGAACCGACCCGAGCTGCCGCCAAGTGCGCAATCTCTGACGCGCCGAAATAGAAGCCGCGATCGGCTCGAAGCGCGCCCGAAGCCCTGCCCACCACGCATCCCACGTGCTGTATTGGGCGGTCTCGCAGAATGAACTCCAGGTGACAGCTGGACCCGTGGGCCCTTCCTCTTGCGACGGTGGCTCGTAGGCGCGTGGTGACGTCACGATGACTTGCCACCAGTCCATGGCGGGGCCCCTTAACAGCGAAACGGCATACCGAATCTTCGCTGCGTCCGACTCGACGTAATTCGCGTCGAAGAAGACGTTCATCGTGAAAACCCACGATTGAACCGTCGGACCTCTACGCTGGCTCGGGTCGAAACAGGGCGGGCGTTGCGGCTTGAGTGGCATTGGTGCCATGATGGCCTGTTCGCCACTTGTCGCCGCGAACTCCACGTGCCGACGGGCTTCGCGAGGCTCCCGCGGGCTTGGCGCGCCCCTGTTTCCTCCCATGCCAGGCATTGGTTGGGCGGCGCTATCACTGGCTGCGCCCGAGCGCTGTCCCACGCTGTCGTGTTGTGTTGGTGTCCCGGACGAGATGACGATTGGCTCGTCCGATTGTGCAGGTGCATTTGTTGGTGCGTGTGGTGCTGCTGGAGTGTTCACCGTTGATTGCTGACGCGCGGAGTCACGTTCCACTGTGAGCATCGCAATTTCGAGCGCCGAATCTTCGAGTTGGCGCACCAGACGGTCGAGCTGCTCCTGCGTCAATGTGGCGAGCGTGAATTCGGCCATGGCGGGGGTGTCGGGCGAGCTCAGCGAGAGCCTCAGTCGTGGCCGTGCGTGCTTACGAGAGAGCACTACGAGCGGCGGTGCTGTGTCGCTGAGAGACATCTACCCCCCCCAAAAATTGAGATAGTGGGGAAGCGAAGGTGTGGGTGCGGTCCGAGAAGAGGTCGTAGGCTCTGAATACCAAGTGTTACGAGTGCAATTGAGTGAACGAACGAGAATTGCACTATCGAAGCAAGCGTACAATGAGCGAAGGCATGAGCGAAGAATATATAGCGAAACTACAGTGGTAACGGTAATAGACTGTGGTTGTCGCGCGACGGGCCTGGGACTGAGGTTGGGAAAAGTGTCGAAGCGGAGGCCCGGAGCGCGGGTTACCCGCCGAGCCGTGAGGTCGGGGTGCGACGTGCGAAGGTGCCGGGCGGATTGTCGATGCGAGGATTGCGAGTGGTAACGGTGCTGACTGTGGTGCTACAGTGATGTACGCGTTGAGCAGGGACGCGAAGTAAGGAAAAAGAGATTTTCCTTACATGTACCAACTTGAAAAGGACTTGTAGTTTACAGTGAAAAGGAACGAGATGGTGGAGAGAGTACACTAGCAACATGTCCTCTGCACACGCACACCTGGTCACCGACCAGCCTCGTATAGCGAATTCGCCAGCAGACCAAGGCTTGAGTAGCCTCGGAGTTGCGGTCGTGTTTCATTTCGTTACAGAGCCTCCGATTCAGCTCTTCAACTGTGATTGTTTTGACCCGTCCCCTGAATTTCAATGTGACTTCGCGTCTTCCGAACCGAAGTTTCACGCCATGCCAAAGGTCCGGGTCGCGTCGCGCGTGTCCCTAAATTCAGAAGTACGTCCCTAGCCCACATCGAAACTGGCCCGTGTTTAGGGTGTTGGTTCACAGTCTTTCCTAACCTCGAATTCATATCGTTGACTTCGGTTGAGTAATACAGGTTGTTGCCGCAGGCCGTCCTCACCTCACTCCCTTATTGCCAGCCGCCAAACGGGGAGTATAAGACACGTGAGAGGGAAGAGGTATTTTTCGCATTTACACGTTGGCGAATAGCTGAAATCTTCTTGTTGTGCTTCACAGATCTGACTCTGATTTTGCACCTGCTTTGACCAGAATGCGGTTTCCACAAACGCATCAATTATCAAAGTGATACGTTGAATGATGCGGATTTACGGTAAAACTTACAGAAATCCGAGATTCTCTGGAAAGATGCTTTAGACGACACGAACGGCTTTATTATGAACGACCTCTCCCGGACTTATGCGTGTCAAATCGGGGTTAAGTATGAAGCCCTGCGAGACGAATCGCGACTTGCATCTTTCTCACGCGCCGTTAATGCTGCTCCGTGGAACAAGCAAGGCGGCGTCGTCATGGGGCCATCTGCACCCCATCTACGTGCTCTTCTTCCTTGTTAACGCCTGCACACTCTTCGGTCTCGTGTGGTTCAACACTACCTTCACCACCACCACCAGCAGAAACAGCAGCAGCAGCAGCAGCAGCAGCAGCAGCAGCAGCAGCCCCACCATCCCGACCACCCTATCCGTAACGATTGGCCGCAGGAGGGGCGGGGGGGAGCAGGATGCGGGAGGTGTGGCGGAAGGTGTGGCGGAAGGGGTGGCGGAAGGGGTGGCGGAAGGGGTGGATGGGGGTAAGAGGGGGGCGGAGACGGGGAGCACGGGGAGGAGCGGGGCGGAGAAGGGGGGCGGGTGGGAAGTGGGCGCAGAGGAGAAGTTTCTGTGGTACGCGTCGCACAGCGGATTCAGCAACCAGGTGAGGGGGACCATGCCGCTATGCGCGCAAGTGGAGAGAAGCAGGCGGACTGAGAGTAAGCGGAGTGGGAGTAGATTAATGCTCCCCCCAATGCTCCCCCCAATGCTGCCTCCAATGCTCCCCCCAATGCTCCCCCCAATGCTCCCCCCAATGCCCCCCCCAATGCTCCCCCCCCACCACCACCACCACCACCACCACCACCACCACCACCACCACCACCACCACCACCACCACCACCACCACCACCACCACCACCACCACCACCACCACCACCACCACCACCACCACCACCACCACCACCACCACCACCACCACCACCACCACCACCACCACCACCACCACCACCACCACCACCACCACCACCACCACCACCACCACCACCACCACCACCACACCACCACCACCACCACCACCACCACCACCACCACCACCACCACCACGACCACCACCACCACCACGACCACCACCACCACCACCACCACCACCACCACCACCACCACCACCACCACCACCACCACCACCACCACCACCACCACCACCACCACCACCACCACCACCACCACCACCACCACCACCACCACCACCACCACCACCACCACCACCACCACCACCACCACCACCACCACCACCACCACCACCACCACCACCACGACCAACTCTCCTCCGCTCTCCTTGCTCCTCCGCGTGCGTGCAGGAATCAGTGCCGTTCTTCTCACGGCCCATAGTGCAGCTGGCACGGGACTACATTCACCAGCACATGCCCCACCCATACGCATGCCTGCACCTGCGCGCCAATGAGGCCTCTTTTGTGAAGAAGCGGAATGTCACGCTCAGGTACCCGTGAGATCCAAAAAGGCTTGTTCCAGTCTGGGGGAAGATCCACGCGACCAGCTGAGAATGCAAGTTCTGGTGTGCCCTTTCTTGCTGTTCCGTGCCCTCTGCGATCCATTTATGCTGGCACCTTGTGATGCGCTAGATCTAGATGTGCTATATTGTTTGAGGTTGATTTTGAAAATTCTCAAAATCAACCTTGTGATGCGCTAGATCTAGATTTGCTATGTGGCATCAGTCAGGGTGCGGTCCCAGCAAGGGAAAAACCCTCTCCTGCCCTCAGTGCCTGTGTCCCCTGCATTCAATATCATCTCTCAGCATCCCTCATACAGTGATATATAAACAATGTCCTCTCTCTGCATCTCTCACAGGGCGAGCACGTCTCTCTACATAAGCAATCTCCTCTCTCTGCCATGCACATCTCCCACAGCAACGCTGAGCAATCACTCCGGGAGATTCTGAAGCAGAGGGACCAGCATGTTACTGTGGGAGCAGCAGCCCCGTCCGCCAACCTGCACCTCTTCCTAATGACAGATGTACACCAGGAAGTGTGGTCTGAGCTGCTGCTGCCGCGCCTGGCGCGCCTGCCTGTGCCAGTGCAGGTGCACACACTCGCGCCGTTCAAGCAGCGCCTACTGGCCCTCTCAATGCGTCTGCGCGGCTACGGCATCGGTATACGGGCGAACCGATTCTTCCAAAAGGTGGGCTATGACATGGGTGCCACGGAGGCCAAACCACAGGTGTGACTGCTGTGTTTCTGCCATCTCGCCCTCTCCTCCTCTTTCCTTCTTCCTCCCACCCTCCTTCCTCCCCTTTAAATAACCTACACGCACAGGAGCGAGCAGCCCTGGTGCTGTGCCCCTACCTCACTATCCAACAGCTCCTCCTCTTTGTCCTGCTGTATCTATCCTCTCTCATGATGGATCTATCCTACCTCTTGTATGCTGATGCACTCACAGGAGGACTCTCTTTGGCGAGTGGAAGAATCAAGCTTGGAGGACCGAGATAAAGACGATGAGGTGGAGGAGACACCTCCCGAGCTTCCGGATGCGCCTGAAGGCGGGGGAGGAGTTCCGCCCATGGCGCGCGGCAGCGCGGATACCCCCCCTGCTGCGCTCGCAACGGGAGACTTGGCGGAAGGGTCGGAACCGGAGGACGGCCCGCCGACGGAGTGTGTTGCGCACGCGGCTTGGAACGCTGGAGACGCGGCTTCGTGGAAGCTTCCAGACAAAGAGTCTCTGGTACGGGCGGGAATGGAAGCGCGAGGCCTGCTATCGTTGCTGACGGGTACAGACGGGAGCTTGAAGGTTGCTTGTAACGAATCAGGAGCTTGTAACGAGTTCGCGGCTTGCGACGAACGCAGCTGCGCGGAAAAGGGCTGCTGGCTGGCAGCTGCGAAGGGCGCGTAGCCGAACTTGGACACGTGGCAGGGCGGCAGCACGGACGCTGCGACCTGATTGGTGGATGGGAGGTGCGGAAATGGAAAAACTGTTGGTGACGAGAGGAAGGGCGATGGAAAGGTGAGCGGATGGGGGACGGGCTCCGCGCATCAGATAAAAGCAACGAGCCGAACGACAAATTGAGTTAAAGAAGGGAAGACCGGACACGCCAAACGACAAATTGACACATGCGGGAAATCCGGAGACAGAGGGACGGCGGGAGCGGAATGGCGGGAGGCAGCGGGAAGGCAGGAAGCAGCGGAAGGCAAGCGTACCCCAGCGGCGGCGGGATGCGCGGGAGAATCTGCGCCTGCTGGTCCTGAACCGCTTGACGGGAAACTGCTTGACGGAAAACCGCTTGACGGGAAACCGCTTGACGGATAACCGCTTGACGGGAAAACGTTGAGCGGGAAGCCGTTTGACGGGAAACCGCTTGACGGGAAACTGCTGGACGGGAAACCGCCTGACGGGAAACCGCTTGACGGAAAAGCGCTAGACGGGAAACCGCTCAAAGGAGAAACGCTCGCTGGAAAAACGCTCGACGGAAAACCGTTTGGCGGAAAACTGCTTGACGTAGGGCAGGACCGGGAGGATGGGGTGAGAAAGCCGGTGAATCCTAGCGGAGAGGCGAGCGACGCGGCGCGGTGGCGCTTAGCGGAAGGCGGCGCCAAGGCCTCGAAGAGCGCCATCTTGTTCCGCGGGGGCGGCTTGGGACCCGCCGCTGCTGCTGCTGCCGCGCTGCGCACGTCCATGCGGGGAAACAGCGCAACTGTCTCCGCCGGTTCCAACTCCTACTAGGAGTACTACCGCCCCTATGACTCGAGTTTCTACTCATTCTTTACAACTGTCGTCTACCTGCAAAGGTACTAAATCGATATCTCGAAACGCTGATGGGTACTAAACAAATGTAGAAACTTCGAGTATGATATTTAGTAAGAGCACGCTAAGAGGCTCGACCTGAATAGGATAAGTGTAGAGTCCTTCGTACGGGTTATCCTTAACGATTCTTTACAGCAGTCGTCAAACCAAGCTTCCTATCAGCAAGCTGCGAGCCAAAAACGGATGAAGCTATGACGTCGTAATAGGCCTTGATCGTGTCTATATTCCCTGAGAGCGAACGATATGGTACGAAGCTAGGAGGGGAGACCAACGATAAAAGCAGACAGCGAGCGGTGATGACTAGAAGGATGAAGTGAGAGGCAAGCGAAGGAAGCACAAAACGGAAGAAGAAAACGGTGGCGACATAATTCGTGAGTCGTGATGAGCAGCAAAGAAGCGAGGGGAGGAGGGAGAGGAGTGGTAGGGAGAAGCAGAGAAAATGAATGGACGACATGGATGGAATCTCGAAAGAAGAGCCAGAAGAGGAAGGAGAGGAGGCGCATGGGTTAGGATGGTTAAGAATGGTTTGGAGGGATGGATTTGATGGGTTTTTGTGGGAGCTTGGACAACACGACGGGGCACCACAAGTTCTAGAAAGCGTGGAAGGAAAATATCTTTTGTTGAAGTTGGGAAAAGTGCATAGAAATTTTTGAAAAAGCAACAGAGCTTGGATTCACATGGAGTTTAAGCGAGTAAACATTTGACACGTGCACATAAAATCTTTCGCACTGGGCAAGGTGGATCCAGCGGGTCAAAGTGAAGCCTGCCAGCAGCGGCGCGAGCGGGCTTTGTGGTCAGAATTTCTGAAATCCTTTTTCGTCAGTTGGTGGCGCAGATGCATGCATGCATGTGCTGTACAGTAGCGGCGTTCATTCACTCATGACTCCACCCGAAAAGGACGTTCCCTGACGGGGACTGTCGTGGCTGAGCAGCAGTGGAATGCGGACATGGAGTGTACTACCAAAATCTGTACAAAATATACATACTAATTGCAAATGTGATAGCTTGTGCACACCCAAAGACTAAAGCATTCAACTAGCTATGTACACGAAAATAGGAGAACCTCCCTGCTATACAAGCTCCCAGTTGTCACCAATGTCAGATTCGTTATCTTCCAAGGAATCTCCCAAAGAAGAGCTGTCCATCTCAGGCACCTCTTTCACTACATAGCTCGCCAGGTCGGCCCTGTTGCCTACAGTGAGGAGCGGCGCTCCATTTGACAGTTGAGCGAGCTGCTCAATTCGACGGCTCAGATCCTCAAAATCACCTGAACGTGTGAGAAAAAGAGTGGCATTGGGAAGAAAACGAGAACAACACAGGAATGCAAACGTGGCATTTCAACCCATGGTAGCAGCAACTAGAAACTCTCTAACGGGTTGTTTCCGTTCCAACAAGCGACACAAATTTGAGGGCCTTCAAGGAAATATTTTTTAGCTGCTACCTTGGGTTGCACAGTAGAAGCCGAGAGCCAGAGAGGAGTCCATGCCTGATAGTGGCATGCGCCGGATAGCGCTGCTGGGGGAAACAGCTCAAGGAACAGACACACGTTTTCAGGTGGTGAACATAGTGGCATGGGTCAGATGGTGCTGCTCTCATGGGAATGAAGCAGGGATGGATATAGAAAAGAAATTAGAATAAAGAAAGGAGAGAAAAACTCACCTGCAATGGTAGGATGACGTGTCCACATGGCATGCGCTGATTGGCCCTTCAGGGAATGCAACAGCCTGCAGGGGGAAACCAGGTGGTCGATCAGTGGGAGGCACTGGGTTAACTATTCAGGGATAGGGTTACCACCATAAAGATCGGAAGACACAAATAGTTACATGACACTATGGGCTAAGATATCCTATTGACTCTAATGAAGCACTGCACACTGTTCACAAATGGTAACCACAGATGTTCAACGGCAGTGGGTAGTGCGGATCCAGGAAAAGCACATCCCTTTGGTGCATGCCAATGAAGAAGAGCGGCATGTGCTCCTTGCGTCCCATGCATGCTTTTGTAACCTGGTAACCACATGGTATTATACCTAGCAACCGAAATTTGTTCACCTGCCGTGGGTAGTGCGGGTCGAGGAAGAGCACGTCGTTACGGTGGTGCGTGCTGATGACATAGAGAGACGTGTTGGGTTTGCCTCTCAGTTGCACGCCATTGCCACCCTGTGTTTACATGTGATGGTTACCTGGTTACAGCTTATATTGACCTGCTGTGGGTAGTGCGGGTCGAGGAAGAGCACGTCGCTCTGGTGTGTGCCGATGAAATAGAGCGACGTGTGCGGCTTGCCTCCCGCAATGCCCACGCTCTGCGGGAAGGCGAAAGTGCGTCGTAGCGCCTCCTGATATCTGCAAGGTGGCAGGGCGTGGGGATTTTTTATCAGAAGCAGCGGATGGAGAGGAAATGAGAGGAGGAAAACAACCTGCGAAAAGACAAACGGTCTGGGGGAAGGCGAACGGGCGGCGCAGTGCCTCCTGGTGGCTGCAGGGTGGGAGGGTGCGAGGATGAGACGAGGGAAGCGATGGGTTGACTGCAAGCCGCAATGTGCACGACAGCCCCACCTCACCAGGCAGCCCCACCTCACCAGGCAGCCCCACCTCACCAGGCAGCCCCACCTCACCAGGCAGCCCCACCTGAACGTGTAACAGCAGCCTCACCGGGCGTCCATGTGGTCGACACCGAGAACCAACGGCACCAAGATCAGCACCGCCCGCCATGCGCTCGCCTCGCCTCGTTCCTCATCTCCCCTCTCCCCTTCCCTCTCCCCGTCCCTCTCCCCCCATTCTTCCTCCAATGCTTCCCCACCTTCTGCATCCCTCCCCCCTCCCTTCCTCACCTCCCCTCCTCCCCCTCCTCCTCCCCCACCACACAGAGCCATGACCTCGTCCACACACAGCATGGGCGCACCTCCCCCTCCCTCCCCCCCAGGGTGCGCCCCCACCACATGCACGCGCATACCCCATAGCGGGCCCTCCTTGCCCCACAGTCTTCTTTCTTCACTCCGTGACAAGTCACCAGCTTCCTCGCCGTTTTCCTGTCCCTCACCATCTCTTCTTGCTTTGCCTCTTCTCACCATCCCCCCATCCCCATTCTTTCCTTCCCTTTCACTGTCCTCCCCTTCTTCTCCTCTCCCCGTCTCCACCTCACCCACACCACTCTCCCCTCCCCCCTTCTCCATCTCCCGAACCAAGCTCCCGAGCATGACGCACAGCCGGTACGGCCCGAGCCACGCCCCAGCCTTGACGCCGAGCCTAGCACCGCCCCGAACCAAATGGTGCAGAGAGAACGGGGAGAGCGGAGAGGGGGAGTCTGCAAAGAGACGAACGACCTCGTGGTAGGCCTGGAGAGAGTGGGGAGGAGAGGATGGGGGGGAAGGGAGAGGAGGAGAGTTAGAGGGAGAGGAGAGCGGGAGTAGGGGAAAAAGGACGAGGGGAGCCGTATATGTGAGTAGAGGTATTAGAAGTAAGCTCTCTCTCCTGTTGGCATTGGAAAGGGAAAGTGCTTTGTAGCCTGTGGAGATCGGGCAAGTAGATCGGGCATAAATAATTGGGCGATAAGGCTGGGCTGAGTGCGAGTGTGGGAAAGGTGGGAGTGATGGGAGAGAGTAAGCATTTGGCATGCTCTTCCCCCCCTCACCTCTCAACCACCCCTCCGCTCACCTCCCCATCCCCATCACCCCCTCCCATCTCCGCCTCCCCTCTACCCCCTCACCTCTCCCTCCCCAGCAGCCCTCTTAACCCGCTCCTCCCTCGTGTTGCCTCCCCACTTTATCTCTCACCTCTCACCCACCCCTCCTCTCACCTCCCCCTCCCCACCAACCCCCCCCCCACCTGCTCCTCCCTGCCAGCATGTCGTCTCCACTGGCGGCCCAGGCGGTGGCACAGCAGGGCCTGCACAGCTCGGAGAAAGGAGAAAGATGAACGATTTCTGAGAGTTTCAAAGATGGTGGAGGAGGAGAAGACAATAGCTTCTGAGTCGCTTCCAAGTCGTCTCCACTGGCGGCCCAGCAGGTGGCACAGCAGGGCCTGGGAGGGAGGGTGCATGGAAGGAAGGAAGGAACAAAAACAGAGGGACAACAGCCTATAAGATGTCTCCAGGACTCACGGCTGGGCTTAGAGGGCAAGGGGAAGGAAGGACGAAACAAAACTGAGGGGCAATTCAACATATGGTGGCGCGGCAGGGTGTGGAGAGCACAGGCAAGGAAAAACAACAACAGATTAGACCATTTCAGAGTTGCCTCAAAAGCTGGTTGCACAGCAAGGGCATGGAGGGCACAGAAAAAGGGGAGATGGAAAATAGACAGGGAAGGGGAAATGAAGGAGGGGAAACAACAACAGCAGTATTAAGGGCAAAAAAAATCCGTAGCAAGACTGAGGATGCCCATCGTACCTGTGCGAGCATCATCTGGCCTGTGCGGAACATGCAGCCCCACCCCGTGTCCGTGGTGAAGCCCTGACCACCACCACCGCCAGTAGCACCACCACCAGTAGCACCACCACCACCGCCAGTAGCAGCAGCACCACCAGTAGCACCACCACCACCGCCAGTAGCAGCAGCACCACCGCCAGCACAGGCGCCAGCAGCAGCGGCAGCGCCACCAACACCAGCAGCACAAGCAGCGCCATCAGCAGCAGCAGTGCAGGGCAGAGGGGGGAAGCCCCAGCGGTACGTCATCCATAGCCTTGATTGCATGTCCACCACCAGGTCCTCCCACGATCCCCCACTCCTCCCCTCCTCCCGTGCCCCCCCACTCCTCCCCTCCTCCACTACCTCACTTCTCTCTCCACTGCTCCTCTCCTCTAACCCCTCTTGCTCCCCACCTTCCTCCTCCGCCCACCCTTATCCCGCTCGTTTTCCTTCTCCCTCACACCCTCTCGCCCTTCCTCCCTCGCCAAACCTCCACCTCCTTCCCGCCCTTTATCCCTCCCGTCAACCCTCCCTCCGTCTCTACCCTCATCCACGTCATTCTCCACATCCCCGCCTTCCCTTGCTCCACCCCCCTCACCCCTTTCCCCCTCTCTCCTCCCCTCAGCCCCCTCTCTCCTCCCCTCAGCCCCCTCCCCTCTCCTCGCCTCCCCCTCCCCTTCCCCGCCCCCTTCCTGCGCCTCCTCTCGCCCCACCTCCTCGTCTTCCCACTCCGCGTATCGCACTCCCAGCACCCACACCGCCTCGCCGCACGCCAAGTCCGGTTGCCTGTGGCACGGGTGGGAAACACGGAACCAACAAGAGTCGGACAGCCAAGAGAAGAATGAGATCGCACGTGCGGACGAAGGATTACAGCAGAATAAGCCTCTACAAGAGTTTGCCTTCAAGAATAAATAAAAATTCAGAGTCTGCTTTCGTGCCTCACCTGTTTACCCCTCAACCCACAAACCGCCACCATGAACCTTTCCATTCGATGCCCCCTAAACCACTTCATCCCTCCCTACCTCAACCCACCTCTCCCCGCTTGCATCTACCCCTCCTCACCCACCTCTACCCCTCCCCATCTGCATCTACCCCTCCCCACCTGCATCTACCCCGAGCATCCTTCACACGCCACCAGGAGTGCCTCAGGCAGACCAGGAGGGCTCTGGGGCAGCTGACCACGCACGCACACAGGGAGGAGGGAGAGCACCGGGGCAGCAACGGATTGCACCCTATTTGTAAGCTCCCACCACTCCTGTCCAGTTAATAAAATCACCCTATTGTATGAATGATATGAACTCTCACACACACAATCCCTCATCCCATGATACTCACACACAAAATCCCCCGACTCATTTTGTTCCCCCACACCCATTCCCTCTCTTCTCCCTCTCCCACCCTCCCCCTCCTTTTTTACTGACCTGGTAAAGACGTCCTGTATCCGCCGAAGCTGCAGCGAGTGGACCAGATTAGACGCAAGCAAGGCCAGGGACGACCGAGCCTCGCCTGCAGGTTCGGAATCCATGGCGCGGGTCAACGAGCCTAGGAGATCCGTGGAGCCCAGTCCCGAGGATTCCAGCCAATCATGAAGCTCCATGGAGAAGCAGGGGGCAGAGATGGTGTGGAAGAGTCCTTCCGCTGCCGTGGATGGTGGTAAAGCAGCAGACGCGTCGGCCTCAGAAGAAACGCTGTCAGAAGAAACGGCGACTGTAGCAGCAGCATCAGAGTCCTCAGGAGCTGTAGCAACAGTGACGGCAGAAGCGTCAGAGGAAGAGGCACCAACAGCGGTAGCAGCAGCGACGCGAGGAGGAAGCGGGGAACCTGAGCGGCCTGAATTGCCCATAGTGCTTTGGAACCCGCTTAACCAGGCTGCGAGGGATGGCGACGCGGACGAAACAGTAGTAACCAGCTGCTGCAACGCACTGTACGCTGTCTCCTGCTCGCTCTCTCGCCTATCATCTCTTTCCTCCCTTCCCCCATCCGCAACCTGCGTCACCAGGTTTTCCTCCTCGCTTGACTCGGAATTCCCATCATCTTCGTTCTCCCTTTCTGGTTCTCCACTTTCAACACCGACACGAGATTCCATTTTTTAAAGCTCGCGTCTCATATTTCTGCCATCCAACCAAGTGTTAAATGGTTGGAATCTGGTAACAGCAGAGTTTGTCGCAAAGCACACCAAAGCAAAGGGTGGTTTGGGAAAGTTGGCTGTCGCACACTTCCCCGTGCACACCAAGCGTTGACAACTCTCGAAAATATGAGACTCTGAACTCAACGTTGGCGGAACCCGGAACCAAACCTGTCACCCTTGGCTCGTTTTCCACCCAAACCAAACCACCCTGGTTTGTTTTGGCCTCAACTGTTTGGGAGTTCGCTGTGCTTTTTTCACCCAATCGTCAAATATTTCGTCAGTCGTTACCCAATCACAGACGGGAAAACCCAACCAAGTGTTAAAAGGTTGGAAATCTGAGACGCGAGCTATAGTACCGACCGGTCGAAGCACGCGAAAGTGGCTGCTAGGGAGAGAAATTTTAGACGGTCACAAATCACTGCCATGTACGTGATTCAGAAAACTTGGCTAAATTCCAAAGCTAAGTTTCTGACCAAGAAACTGATCGAGACGAGCCACAGTACTGCCCGGATGACAACTGGGAAAAGGGACTGCTAGAAATAGGAACCTGCTACGACCACGAACCATGCTTCATCTCTACGCCTGTGGGAGCAAGTGCCAGCGATGGTGGGGACGGGACTCGAGTATGGAGTGACATTCGCTGCTGGAGTACGGAGGTCCCTAGAGTGAACATACAAGCTTGATAACTCGACAGTTAGGATTACTGTACTGCAGCATTGATACGTTAGGGGGTCCTCACATCCACAATCCACCACCAGCATATTCTTAGCTAAGCTTCAGTTTATTATAGATCATCACATAAAATGCTGTTCTCCTGAAGGAGACATGCAAGTTTGGTAAAAAAAAACTCATGAAGCCAATATAATGTATAGCAGTTTTCCCAAAGCAACACCTTCCACAATGCGAGGATCGTACTCTGGATTCACAGCACAAACATTGTATAAACCATAATGCTACACACAAGCGGAATTGCTGTGTTCATCAGCACCTCACAAACCATTCTGTTCCTCCCTGCAGCAAACTGGTCAATGTTGACATGTATGACCCTTGACTCTTACAGAATCACACCTGTAGTAGGGGAAGTCCAACCGTTGGGCCCTAAACGCGCATCTTGACGACATTTTGAATGAGTGTGCCAAGCCCAGGCAGTCCCTTGGCCATGATCTCAATCCGCGCTGGGTTGGAGGCGTGCTTGAATAGCGAGAGACCAAATGAGATGAGCTGTGGGGAAAAGGCAGACAGCATGGGAAGGGAGAGGCAAGTGGCATGGGAATAAGACAAGGGAGCGTGGTTAAGTGGAAGGGGTACGGCTGTTTGTTCCAGAATGAACTGGGAGGCGAAGGACAGGAAGGAAGATGGCAGGAAGGAGGAGGGCACAGGAAGTAATTCATCAAACGTTTCCGTTGAAAAGTCAAGGGAGGACGAGAGGCAGCATACCTCCACGATGTTGAGGCGAGAGGAGAGGAAGCCGTGCCACTGGTAGGGCGTGAGGTCAAAGAATGCATCAAAGAACCGCCGGTTGCCTGCTAGGTCCAGCTGTTAGAAGGAGAGGGGTGAGGGAAGGGGAGAGGGAAAGGCGTGTGGTGAACATTCAGCACAGAGGTGAGCCATGGCACTGGTAAGGCATCAAAGAACCACCGTTTGCCTGCAAGGTCTAGCTGTGAGGGGGAGGGAGGGCGAAGGGGAAGAGGGGCGGAGCGAGGAAGGCGTGTGTGAGCACTCGGCTAAGAGGAGAGGAAGCGTGGCACGATAAGCAATGAAGGAATTTGTGAGATCTTGGGAAAGACCGAGAGCACAGAGGATCAATTCTAAGAATAACATCCACCCTGAGCAGCTCCCACCCTGCGCTGCATCTGTTCCGAGGTACACCCATCCGCAGCAGCACATCCATGCCGAAGCACACAAGCTCACTCTGCCCTGAGAAGCACCTGTTATGAACTACACCCAACCGGGGATCTGACATGAGCAGCACCCACCCACAGCAGCACCCTCCTCGAGCAGCATCTTATGCAAGGTACACCCACCCGCAGCAGCACAGCACCCGCATCTGATTCAAGGTACACCCGTGCGGAGCACTACCCACCCTGAGCAGCACAGCACCCACCCTGAGCAGCACGTCCATGCCGAAGCAGAAGAACTCGCGCTGCTCCTTGCGCCACAGCGGCCACACGTCCTCCCACACGCTTGCTGACAAGCTGTCGCCACCCCTCCGCTCGCCCTGCTCCCGCCCCTCCCGCTCCAGCTGCTTGACTATTGCCGCTGCCACCACTGGTGCTGCTGCCAGCGTCCGCGCCACCATGTAGCCTGGGGAAGTGGGAGAGAGGGAAAGAGTGGAGAAGGATGGCCCAACAGGAAAGCGGGGTACTTGCTTTGACCCAAGAGGCTGCTGCAAGGTTCCAGGCCGCCTTGTAAACTGGGGAAGGGAGAGAGTGAAGGAGGGGGTGAAATTGAGGGGAAAGGTGGTATTTGGTTGACTTGAGAGATGGAAAGGGAGTGGCACAGTTAAACAAGGGGGTCACAGATGGAAAGGAGGGTGATAAGTTGATCTATGGGCCTGGTGGGAGCATTTAAGACACCATGCAGCCTGGAGAAGGGGAACTCTGAGAAAAGGTTGCACAGAGGGAAAAGGAGGGGCCCGGGTTACATGAAAATGAGTTGAGACAGTTCTGAATGGAATTGGTCCAGTTTAAGAGGGGTAAAGATGGAGCAGCATCGCATGTGCATAGACGGCTAAACCCTAACGCATTACCTGCGTGCACGACTACACTTTTACTCTGGTGCAGCATGGTCATGCTCGAGCACGGTTGCAGCATGTCATGCTCGAGCACGGTTGCAGCATGTCATGCTCGAGCACGGTTGCAGCATGTCATGCTCGAGCACGGTTGCAGCATGGTCATGCCAGCGACGGGGAGCATGCTCTTACCAGTGGAGGGATGGACCATGCCCGCTGTACCACCTATCCCCAGCACGCGTTGTGGCATGTCTGGCAGCACGCCACCCATGGGAATGAGGCAATACCTGCACATTGATTGCACGCCAGGCAGGGGTGAGATGGGTGCATAGGGGTGTGGAGGAGAGGTGGGTATGGGCGGACGGAATACGTGTAAGGCCGAGATGTGGGAAAGGGTTGGAGAACGGGTTGAACGGGTGGGGAATGGGAGGGGAAACGATGTGGAAGGGGTGGGAAGGGGTGGGGAAGGGACGAGGAAGGGATGGGGAAGGGGTGGGGAAGTAATAGGAAAGGGTGGGGAAAGGGGTTCAGCTGAACTGGCTGGTTCATCACAGGAATGAGCACCGCATGCGGACGCAGCAAGGCCACCTGCAAGCTCCTAGCAATACTTAAATGCATGCTCATTACTTGTCTGGAGACAATTGTGAAAGATTTTTCAAGGCGTTCCCACTTCCAACTATGTGCATGTGCACTCCTTGTCTGGAGTCACTTGTGCGAAGCCCCAGAAGTCTTTACACTGGTGACTCGGTGCATGTGCACTGTTACTGAAGTATAGCATCACTTCACACATACGTACGTATCACGGTCTAGAATTGTCTCAAAGCTCTGGTAATATTCATGGTCTAGCAATCCACTCTGGCAATGCTCAACGAGCAGCTTAAAAAAATTATCCCACCACAGTCCACACTCCACTCTGAAGCCACTCACAGTACTTAGTCGCTGCAAACTCCCCCCCACTCACTCTTGCTCGGTGATGGCGTTCACTTTAATCCCCAGGTGTGCCAGGCGCTTTTCCAGGCGCCTTTGGATCTCGTCAAACGCCACGGCGGGCCGCGCCACTAGCGACGTCTCCTCTGCACGGCACAGAGCAACATGGCACGGGGAAGACGGGCGGACGGACGGATAAGCAGTCATGTACTTTTGAGTGCGAGTTGCGGGTCAAGCCGGGACACGCACCGGAACACATAGGTTCAGACAGAAGAATCAGGCGGCCTTGCAGGCTTCAAGAAAAGCAAGGAAAAGCGGAACAGCGTCGCGGATTAAAAAGGCAGCAGTGGGCGAGAAGGGTGACGAGGAAAGTGATTGTTTTAGGGTTAACTCAAGATTCATTGCGTTGAGAAAAGTGACTTTTGAGTCCATTCAAAAGGCGTACCTAGAAGACGGTGGTCGGGGAGAAGGACATGGCGTGGAGAAAAGTGACTTCTAGGGTACACTTAGAAGTCACCTAGAGGAAGGTGACTTCTGCTGAGTCGGTTCGTAAGGCATACCTAGAAAGACGGTGGTCGGGGAGAGGGGCATGGCGTAGAGGAACGTGGGAAGGTCGGCGTTGCTTTTGTGCATGGGCGTGCCTGGGGCGAGATGCGAGTCCCGCCAGTCCATGAACACCATCTGGTCCAGCTCGAACGGATGTGAGTCCACCTGAGGCAAGAAGCAGGGGGGAATGCGACGGACAGAGAGGGGCACACTTCTTGTGCGAGTGAGTCCCGCCAGTCCATGAACACCATCTAGTCCAGCGCGAACGGATGTGAGTCCACCTGATTCACTGAGCAGGGCGGAAGGGAAAGAATAAACAGGGGCGCTTTTCGTGTAAATGAGTCCCACCAGTCCATGAACACCATCTGGTTTTGCGCTAACGGATGCGAGTCCACCTGAGGCAACGATCAGGGCGGAATGCGCTGAGAAGCTTGGTGGGAGAACCGCCAGCACGGCCTCTATTAACTTAATTCTCATCGGTGCCGACGCTATCCCATCTTTGTATAAAGTGGGAATCCAGCTGAACAGCATCGAAGTGATCGAGCCAAAGATAAACAAGATCGGACGGATACCGGCCTTCAGCCGTGGTTTGTTCCGGAAACACAACAGATTTTATTACACGATGGTCCTTGATAACCAGGGTCACCGATTACCAGCGTCACCGAAACTTCCCGTTCATTTTCTTGGTAAATAATTGGTATGCTGAACAGGCGTTTGGATGGCAAAAATGTGCGTAACTCATTGCCTCGTGCGTTCTCGTACGATAGCCACCTGAATTCTTTAATTTAGATAGAAGGTATTTCTTTATTCTTGCCCATACGGCAAGCCACAAGCCAAAAGGCACACACACGCACCTCTGCAACGATTCCCCACGCTGCCTGGTAGCCCGGGTTGTACGGCTGCGAGTACTGCACGAGGCGTCGCGAGAAGCCCGTAGCGTCCAGCACCAGCGCCGCTCTAATCTCCGTGCCGTCACTGCATCGCACCACCGAGTTGTCTGCCGTGTGCTCCACGCTGTCCACCTGCGATGCCAAGAATAAACTCAGACCTCAATGTTTGCCAACTTGGCTCCAACTTAGGTAGAAAACTACTTTACACGAACTTCATTTTCTGAAAAAATTGCAATGTAGCTACACGCGCGCTTGCTTGGGAGTACGTACCTTAGCTGCGTGGAAGGTGACCCCATTCTTGATGCATTGCGACGCCATCTTCATCTTTAGAGCTCGCCGGCTCACCCTTCCATACGGCCGGTCCAGATACTTCTGCTTGCCGTCGTCTAAATACACCACGGCTTTTTGCCAAACGTAATCTAGACAGTCCGTCAGGTCTAGCGCCTCGAATTCGTCGACCCACACGCCGTAGTTATTTGGCCACATGGACTCGGGAGCAGGGTCCACGCAGCATACTTTCATGCCGTGCGACGCTACTTGCTGTGCGACGGATAAGCCAGCGGGACCGGCGCCGACGACGATCAGGTCAAGTGTGCCGGCGGTATCTTCGGGATTGTAAGCTGGGAAGGAAATGTCAAGTTTCTCGATTTTGATCTCTGGCACGAGGTCTAAGAGAGAGGGTGGGTTGTCGGCAACGGCGGGAGAAGCGGCGACAGCGCAGGTAGTATGGCGGGGACTGGAAGGATCAGGACGGACATGGCCCTTGGTTAAGGAATGCGTGACGGTACTTGGACTGCTTCGGAGACCGACATTCGCAGAGAGGTTCTGACTGGAAAAACGAGCCGAGTTACTGGGAAGTTTGCGATTGGATGACTTAGACCGTGACGTGCTACTTAATTTAGCGTACTCCGATGTCGCTTGAGTCGGAACGCGTACGGTTGCCATCCCTCAGTACGATCAGCTGACCAAGAGAAGATAAGTGTAATGAGAATTTGGCTATCGAAGACGAGGACGTTATGATCCTGAAAACTACTGATTGGACGACCCTTACCTCAGACTCAACGTCCCCTATAAAAATGGAGTCAGTAATACGTGAGAGAGACTCTCTACGCAGCAGCACTTCATATCAGAAATGGCTTCTTGTCATCAACATTCAGCAGCTGATGAAAGCAAGCTTCTTCTCATGGAAGGTTGCTTGCCGCTGGTAGTCTGGCGGGGCGAGCAGACTCAGAAGCAGCTATCCAAAGCGTACAAATTCACTAGCAAACACACACAGTTGTTGAGAGGATCCCACCCAATGGCTGGGCTTGGCTGACGCATCCCGCGAAGCAGTGTGTAGTGAAGAAAATGCGCGGCGTTGCCGATGACGTGGCAAATCCAGGCCATTGAAGTTGGTCGGATGAATGAATGGGCGGGAGCCATCAGTGTGGTGGCACGTGTCAGCTTTGAGACCAGACCTGAGATGGTTGTGGTCTGGATAGTGTACGCTCGGATACCGAACTTCGTTCGGAGGTATGGCAGATGGCAAAAAAAGTCGCACAGGCTCGGCTGCGTCAAACACGTGTGGCACAGAGGGGCCCTATTCATCGGTCGCTACAAAAGCTTCGACAATCACATCGCAACCATCCGTTCTGGCTGGGGTGACGTGGGCCAAAGCAGCATTACCCTCCAAAACTCGATACAGTACAGGGAGCATTTCAGAAGTACCGGTACGTTATGAGCAACCCGCCATAAGGGATACATTGAGTTCGAGCACCAACTGCATTAGGGTATGTAAAACATTATATACAATACATCTGAAAATCATTTGAGTTCCTTTACTTGAGCATGGTAAGTCTAGGCCTCACCCCGATGACACCAGCTCTTGCGTCCCTGTAAGTATACCTGAATGGCAACAAAAATCACAGCAGACTTCCAGTATTCACATGAAAGCTGTAACCACGTATTTCAAAAGGTTTGCAAACCATCATGAAACAAGCTGGGTACCTTGCTTCATGGAGAAATCTTTTCACAGCGATTGGTAGATTTGGCTGCCCCCCACTGCTGTGCCGCCCCACACCTGCGAGCACCACCATACCGTTGTTGGGCACAAGAAAGCGCACATTATTTCAAGAAAGCGCACATCATTTCAAGAAAGCGCACATTATTATAAGGAAGCCCGAAGAATTAGAGGTGAGCCCCATCCGTCCAAACACGTGCACGCATTTATAAGCAACAGTCCAGGTTTCAATTCAGGATGTAAAATCAGGCAGTTGCAGCTGCACAACAACCTCGCCATTCAACATCGAAGCACCACTATTGTGGGCACTCACCAGTAATGACCATCAGCTCAGGCCGAGCTGAGGACAACACCTTCGCCGGGAGAACCACACCACTGCTCCCCCACACTCGCTCTTCTGCAGTCACCTCCCTTGCTGCACCAATGCTGCTCCTCCCTGCCTGCTCTTCTACAGACGCCTCCCTTGCTGCAGCGTTCTCCTGCACACTCACACCCCCTTGCCCCTCCAGCTGCTTCAACCTCCCCTCCAGCGCAGATACAGCCTCCCCCGGTAGAAGCCCATGCAGATCCAGCTCCCATAAGGACCGCCCCCAGTTCCTGTGCGCCAGAATCTTCCCGGCAGCTTCCGTGTGGAGCCTCTCTGCCCGCTCCTTCTCCTCTCTTGACGTGTGGGAAAGTTTCCGGGCAGCTGCGTGGTCGCCCCTGTCGTATGCCCGGGCAGCTTGTCCTGCGAGCCGTGCGTGTGCTCTGAAAAGGAGAAAGGGGGAAAGGGAAGGAGGGGGAAGCGGAGGGGGAAATGATCAACGAGGGATGAAATTTGATTGGAGGGGAAACGAGAGGAGAGGAGAGAAAAGGAAGAAGGAAACGAGGAAAGTAGGATGTGAGACCGGCTATGTCGCTCCCCTCTCTGCTACTAAAGCGAATCTCTCACCTTGATGCTGCTAAAGCCTCTACTCTGAACGTCCGGAACACATCCACGTCATCACAGTCACCATCCACGACATCATGGCCATCAGCCTCCCTCTGCTTCCCGCCTTCCTCCTCCTCCATCTCTCCAAGCCTCATATCCGCTTCGTCCACCACACCCTCTCCCGCTACGCTTTCACCCATTCCCCCCATCGCCCCCTCTCCCCCCATATCCGCCAGTATTGCTTCCGCGGCTGCTCGTTCCCCCCCCACCGCCGCCATCACCCCTTCCACCACCTCCCTGTCCGCCCACCGGAAACCTTCGCAGAAGCTCACTCGCCACGGCCTCCCTGCACGCCGCCGCCCCCGCGGGACCCGCGCCAGGCGATGCGGCAGCAGACGTGGTTCGGGACGTCTCGAAACTCGCTGGCGACGCGACGACACACGATGACGACGCGAGAGTGGCGGCGACTGCTCCCGAGGAGCACGCGCGCATGTCGCTGCTAATACCGGAGTGTGACAATAGCGAGGAAAACTTCTTGTTGGTTTCCAACCCGGAGGAGCGAAGAGTTTCCGAAGCTTCGTCAGTAATCGAGGGAAACTCGGCGGCTGAAGTGACGAGCGCGCCGCGCGAGCTGTTTGCGAAATGCGCGGGATTTACGCGACCTGCGAGCGCGGAGTTCGCGGAGGCATCGGCGGGAAGAGAGTGCGGAAGGGGCGAGGACTGCGCCATCGCAGCGGACCACCCGACGCGCTCAAACTTCTCCCCCCGCTTGCCGCGCTTCCCCGCACCCCGTTGTTCCCCAGCCAAAGGCATCGCGCCACGTAAGCTAGCACTGAGCCAACGGTCTTCAACACGTGTAAATGGGATATCGAGCGCGATTAGTGACACCTTGGAATGGAACATAAGTGATATAATGACACGAAGAGGATGCGAGACGGGGTTTCGGAAAAAACGGGCTAGACGATGCAAAAGCATCTTCGAAAATCATGTACCCCGAAGCAATTTGCTTCGCCAAAGCTAGAGTGACTCGTCAATTTAAAAACGTCAGACAGTCCTTATAATACAGGGAGTTATGCTACATGCAAGTCACATCACATCTCATTAAGTGATAACGAATCAGAAAGTAGAACTAGCAACAAACCACCACTTGCAGGACCACTTCACCTTAGGCCATGACAAGAGAATATGTTTTTGGAATCCAAAACACCTCTCCAGTTAAAGAGGATGGTGGTCGCAGCTAAGAAGTTGCTGGAACCAGCCAACCCCCAGCGGACCCCTAATCTCGTTTGTCAACCTTCTCTTCTCATCCTCGGGTGTCTCTAGACTCTAGACTGATAAGTCGGGAGCAATGCGAACCCACACTCTTTTGTGGCATCATCAAACGAAAGCATGACACTCTATAGTGTGTTAGCCACCACCTCGCACTGCACCACACTGCACCACACCGCACAGTGACGTCTCCTTGGTTGAGGTCCGTGCACGCCTACTCTCTGCAACACAGCACCCTTACAGTCAGTCAAAGCACTCAACCACTCCCCACTAACCTCCCAGTCCCCAGTACTCTTCCCTCCTCTCTCCCCCTTGCCACCCACACTCTCCTTGTCATCATCACCATCACTCCCCCCACTACCAGCGGCGGCAGCAGCATGCAAGCTCTGAAGCTGGGTACGCGGAAAAGTTTGTTCCCTGCCGCCACCCTCACTCCCCCTTGCCACCTCCCCTCTCCTCCTCGTCATCATCTCCATCACCCCCCCCACCACCACCGGCGGCAGCAGCGGCGGCAGCGGCAGTAGCCCGCATGGCTTGCGGCTGGGCACGGGACGAAAAGATCGTCCCAGCAGATCGAGCAATATCTTTCTTTCGCCGCCCGGACGAGTGCGGCTCGAGAGAGGATGTTTCTGAGGAAACTGACGCGCTGGATGGCACGCGGGGGATGTCGACTGTCGTGTTAGTCACCACCCATGGGTGGTCTGTGGTGGTGTGTGGGGCGTGGTGGGGAGATGGGGGCGGGGAGATGGGGGTGGGGAGATGGGGGCAGACAGGGGTGGGGAGATGAGGGGAATGGTGGTGGGGAGATGGAGGGAAATGAGGTTGGGGAAATGAGGTTGGGGAAATGAGTAACAAGCATACCGAGAATGAAGTGCAGAGGCAGGCGGTGGTTGGGATGGAAGGCAAGCATACGATGTGCGAGGTCGTTGCCTGCCCCCAACACGAGCAGCCACACCTTTACCATCAAGCAGTCAGCACCAGCACCCGACAATCAACCACACCCAAACACCTAGAACCAGGCGCAGAAAAGTGAGAAGAATTCCGTACCTAGAATCAGATGCAGAGGCAGGCGGTGGTTGGGGTCGAACGCCAGCATGCGGTGCACGAGGTCCTTGGCTGATCCCGACACCAGCGGCCACACGCCCGAGCTCGTGTCCACCTCACAGCGCCGGATCAGCTCATATACGCCCGCGTCCGTGTCGTCCCAGAAGGGAAGCTTCTGGGAAAGCAGCGTGTAGAGGATGACTCCGAGGCTCCAGATGTCCGCCTCGTGCCCGTACAGCCCGTCCAGCACCTCGGGGGCCATGTAGAAGGGAGAGCCCGCGTATCCCTTCATGCGCTGGCCTGTGTGGGGTTGGGGTTGGGGGATGGGGTTGGGGGATGGGGTCAAAGTTGGGGTTGGGGGATGGGGTCAAAGTTGGGGTTGGGGGATGGGGTCAAAGTTGGGGTTGGAGCAAGAGGATGACTCCGAGGCTCCAGATGGATGTCTGCCTCGTGCCCGTACAGCCCATCTAGCACTTCGGGGGCCATGTAGAAGGGAGAGCCCGCGTATCCCTTCATGCGCTGGCCGGCAGGTTTGGGGAAGAGAGGAAGCCTATCCTTAAGGTGCCTCACAAGAAAGACAGACACCCAGCACCTCTGGCGCCATGTACAAGGGCGAGCCGGCATAGCCCTTCATGCGCTGGCCTGTGTTGGGTGGGGTGGGGGATGGGGTTGAAGGTGGGGTTGGGCCAACAACATATTTCCCACGCTCCAGATGTTTGCCTTTGGCACCATGTAGAAAGGCAAGCTGGCACAGCCCTTCATGCGCTGGCCTGTATGGGCCAACAGGGGTTGGGTTTGGACATGGTGGTGGGTGGGATCGTGTGGGAGGGAGGGCAGGGGAGAAGTGAGGTGGCCGCTTTCTCAGAAAGCGTTCCTGTCTTCTCTCTGCCATGTTAACCCTGTTCACTCCTCACCTGCTCTGCGCCCTGGCGCCCTCGCCTCGCCTCGCCTGCTCCCCAATGCACCTAACACCCTGTACTACCGTCTTCTCCCCACACCTGCTCTGTGCAATGATGCCCCTTCACCTCTTGACTACTGCCCAATGCATCCAACTACTTGCTGCAGTGAGCGTCCCTGTACCTAACCTCTCTTACACCCCCCAACTGCTCTCAGCGGCACAGAAAAGCTGAAGCCCGCCACCCGCAGGTCCCACCACTGGCTGGGCGAGGCCAGCAGCACGTTCTCGGGCTTGAGGTGGCGGTGCATGATGTGGTGGGGAGACTTTTGAGGCGACTCAGAGGTTGCAGTGCATGATGTGCTGGGGATCATGCACCGCAATCATGAGGCCAAGCCACTCGCACTGCAAAAGCCCAAGCCACTCGATGCCCTGTGCCGTGTCCTTTGCCACCCTGCCCCATGCATATGTGACCTATCCCCGCCGCACCTTCTGCCCTGTGCCGTGTCCTTTGCCACCCTGCCCCATGCATATGTGACCTATCCCCGCTGCACCTTCTGCCCTGTGCCGTGTCCTTTGCCACCCTGCCCCATGCATATGTGACCTATCCCCGCTGCACCTTCTGCCCTGCCCAGCCCTACCTGCCCTATCCCGTGCAACCTGTGCCCTCTCTTCTCCCCTCACCTGCTCTCAGCGGCACAGAAAAGCCAAAGTCCGCCACGCGCAGGTCCCACCACTGGCCGGGCGAGCCCAGCAGCACGTTCTCGGGCTTGAGATCGCGGTGCATGATGCCGCTGACGTGGCAGAAGTGGATGGTCTGCACGAGCACGCGCACTATGGTGGCGGCCTCCCTCTCTGAGATGCACAGCTGTGTGTTGATGTGATCTAGCAGGTCGCCGCCTGAACACATCTCCATGACTATGTGCACGCACTGGTTGGGGACAGGGGGAGGGGAGTGGGTGGGGAAGAGGGAGAGCGGGGAGGGAGGGGAAGAGGAGGAGGAGGGGAGTTGGAAGCGTCTCTCGACCTGGGGGATTCACAGGTGCATGCATGTTGACGAGGTGGGTAGGAAGTGGATGGTCTGCACGAGCACGCGCACTATGGTGGCGGCCTCCCTCTCCGAGATGCACAGCTGTGTGTTGATGTGATATAGCAGGTCGCCACCTCAAAACATCTTCATGACTATGTGCACACACTGAGGAGGGAGAGGGTGGGGAGGAGGGGAGTGGGAGAGGGGAGGAGAAGGGGTAAGAAGAAAGGGCGAAAGGGAAAGGGTTGGCTGCCTTTCTTTTCTCCTCCGAGAAGCAGAGCTGTGTGTTGAAGTGATCTAGCAGGTCCCCCCTGCACACATCACGCACTGAGGGTTGGGAGTGGAAGGGGGTGTGGGGGGCAGGGGGAAGAGGGGAAGATGCAGGGTTGGAACGGGTGGGGGCCAGGAGTGAGCGGATGAGGGAGGGGGGCAGGGGGAGGAAGAAGGGGCGAGAGGGGAGGTGGACAAATAGACTCACCTTAGCATCTTCAGCAGTGTCTTTAATCTCCACTATGTGCGGATGCCCCTGCAGTTTCCTCACACTACTGCAATGACACTATTAGAGCTAACACCCCGAATTACCTCAGTATCTTCACCCTGACTCACCTTAGCATCTTCCGCCGTGTCTTTAATCTCCACTATATGTGGATGCCCCTGCAGCTTCCTCATAATCGCCACCTCCGTCCGAACCGCCTCCTCCTTCCTGCCCCCCGTTAGAGTCACCTTGTCTATAGTCTTACACGCATACTGCCTGCCTGTGCGCCTCTCCACGCACTGGTATACAGTCACTCCCTTCCGCCCCTGCCCCACCTTCCGCCCCATCTCATACCGCCGCGTCACATCGGAAAATCCCTGCTGAAACACACCCATGCCAATCCCCATGCCCATGCCCATACCCCCTCCTGCGCCCCTTCCTGCGCCCCCTGCCCCGCCCGCCCCCCCTCCTGCGCCCATCTCAGCACCACCACCAGCGCTGCTGCTCCCACCCCCGCGCGCGCTGCTGCTGCTCCCCCCGCCGCTGCTCCCGCCACCAGCAGCAGCAGCGACAGCAGCAGCGGCGGCGGCGGCAGCAGCAGCTGTGGGGGAGGGTCGGAGGGAGGGGGTAGGGAGCGCATGATAGGAGGGGTTGGGGGGGGCAGCCATGGCTCTTCTAGCATGCGCGTCAAACGCTGATGCTGCTTCCGCTGTCATCAACCCTCCGCCTCCGTCTCCCCCTGCGCCTCCCCCAGGTGGCCCCGCCCTAGGGCTGACGGGGTGGGCGCTCAGGCTGCGGCTGAAAGTGTCCACTGCTGCGCCCAGCGTCCCCCCACCTCCCCATGACGCCAACCCCCGCCTCTTGCCGCCCTCCCCCGGCCCTCCCCCTCCGCCTCCCCCACCCCCTCCGCCTCCGCCTCCGCCTGCCCCTCCGCCTGACCCCGCCCCTCCCCACCCAGAACCAGCATTCGCGCTTCCGCCCATGCTCCCCTCGCCTGCGCTTTTCCCAGATAGCACCTCCCCGCGGGGCGTTTTGGGGCTCTTATTGGCGCGCCTGGGCGCATCCGCGGGTGCGCGGGGGCTCTTAAGCGCAACGTAGTA